TGGATGTAGTTCTTAAAAACTGTGCTCAGCACACACTTCCTTGGGGTGTGGGTGCAGGCTCTCCGGACAATATGAGGCTGAGAGTAAGTGCCCTACCCGCCAAGTACTTTTCCAGGACGCCCTGCAGCTCCACAATGTTCTTCAGGCGAGTGAGCACCTTCCCCTTCATCTCAGCTGACTGCTGTCCGCAGAAGGCATTCACCACCTGCAAATTATATTCTTACTTTGATGTGTCCAGATTTTAACCCTTATACATTATTCACCTAGAACTCAAAGATGTCACTGGGAAGCCTATCTGTGAGTTTCTGTGCAACAGCTTGGATTTGTTTTATTCAGTACTGAGGACTAAATCCTGGGCCACTCGTGTGTAAGGTAAATGCTTCACCACTGAGTTACTTCTCCAGCCTTCAAGTATAACGTGAGACTAGGCAGTAGCTATTTATATGAATTCAATGTTACGAGCCTGCCCGGCAAGCGCAAAGTCCTGAGTTTGATCCCTGGTACCACCAAAAAAAAAGAAAAAAAAGAAAAAAAAAAAGAGAGAGACACTAACTCAGTACTTGAAAAATACTTAACAAAATTTAGTGACTGAAATTCTATACATGTAAAAAAAGACAAGGCTTGAACTGTCCACATTATAATAAAACTGTGACGATGAAATGAACTCAAACACACATCTCTAAAATCAAATGTAAGAGAAAGGCAGAGAGGGCAGAAAGATGCTGCCATCACCATCTCTATTATTATTAAATGCAACATGTTCTAAAGGAAGGGCAACCACCACCCATTCATCTCACTGTAGCCAGTGAACACGTGCCTGTGCTAGCTAGAAGAGCAGTTCTTCCACGGTGATGAGTAGGTCAACCTAGGCAGAAGTGAGAATCCAAGAAGGCTCAGAGTAAGGAAGCAAAGGTTACATGAGTTTATTCTGGGTGGATAAGGCCAAGTACATTCACTACCTGGGGAGTAGGGGGGTGTAACAGGTAGAGGCATAGGCACTAGTGCATGGTGGAGCCTTTTTAGGGAGTCCAGAGAGTAGCTTTACTTTGAAAGAACTACTTTTTAAAAAATGCATTTAGTACACCGTCTACAGGGTCTCACTACACAGATTGGACTCAAGTGATCCTCCTGTTTTCAGCCTCCCAAGCGCTGGGATCACAGGTGTGTGCCACCACACCCAGTCTCAACTGCTATCTCAGTGCACCCTGGGGGCAGGGCCAGCATGGCACACCAGGGATCAACCCCAGTCCCTGCATCTGCCTAAGACTGAGCTTTCATCTGCTAAGCTATCTGGCCAGCCCTTGAGTGAAATTCTAACAGGACGGATGTCCCAGTGACTCTGCTCACCTCTCGCAACCAGTTGAGAGTGAGAAATATGAGTGAACACAGGAATGAGCGCTCCTTGGCAGGCATGGACTCCAGCTTCTCTCCAGGTTCCAGGTCAGTAAGGAGTATAGGGCAATCTAAGAAAAGAACAGGCCTCTCAAACATCCTGGAGCTCCTTACTTTTCCTTTTAGCTTGTCTTTGGGGGTCAAGATCCAACTAGTCTCAAAAAAATTAATTAAATTTTTTTTTTTTGCAGTATCAGGGATTGAATCAAAAAAATTATTTCCACCTTATACAGCAACTAACAGACATAATTAGGAAGTATTTTCTCTTCCTTTTTTTCACAATACT